ATGAAGTTTGAAACCCATATTGGGGGTATTCTGAACAGTTGAGTTTTTAGCTGTTGTTTTTGACTACTGATGCAGTAACAGTCTGTAGAATAGCTCAAATCTAGCAAATATGAGTTAGAGAGCTAATCTAATGATATAAACATCATGAATGGGGTTAGTATATGAAATGGTGAAGATTGATACCCATATTGAGATATTTCTGAAAAGTCACTTTTACCGGATATTTTGTACTATTGTACCAGCAACCAATAGAATTTCGGAATGGGAGAAAGATGATATAATGGAATGAAAGCCCAATATATGCCTAACAAGTCATAATTAGACCAAAAATATTAAAGTTAAGAAAATTATGAAATCCAGGTACAGTTTGGAACACCGGTAAAGCATACAGTGCAATTAAACTGCGTTAAGTGGATCTGTGATATACTAATTGAATTTTTAAGTTAAAAACATGATAATCACACAAAATTAGTATTGATTACTTAAATTTGGGGTCTTGGGCACAGAGCCATTATGTATGTACTGACCCTAGATAGGGATTGCAGTTCGTGTGGGACTTGCAAGACATCTGTTATATAACTATGTCTACCAGGTGTAATTGTGTGTGAGATTCTTATCTCCAGTTATCCGTTAAACAACTGTTATGCTGTCCATAAGACTCTGGTAGGAATGACACTTGTTGTCATATCCGGTTAGTCAATGGCCACTAATACTGGACAATAAGATTAATTAGTAGGTGTATATTTTAGATTTAAGCTTTCGCGCTATCACTCGTGAAAGATTTTATAAATGTTTTCATAAAATGTTTTGGAAAAAGCTTATTCGTATTTTTACAAGACATTTTATTAATCTTTAAATAAAATCTTTCGCTGTGTACGCTATAATATGATAAAGTTAACAACCGGAGTACTACGCGGTGTTACGTTGGAATTTTTGTTTGCCTTCTCCAAGCTTTTATAGCTATTTCCTAAATAAATAATTTTTGTCCTAAAGACTGTACCGCAAATGCTACGTTATGTTCTCTCTTTCTTGCTTTATTTCTTTTTCTTTTTCTTTTTCTATTTTCTTGTTAAAATTTTATAAAGAAAAGGACGAAAGGATGAACACATTCACATATCAATAGCTTTGTTGTACTACTAATTAATACATTGTATTTTAAAAAGAAGAAAAAAATAGTACAACAAAGTACAGAAACAATAGTACAACAAAGCACGGAAAGAAGGGACTCGCAAGATTCCATTCCAAAATATATATATATATTATTTTGGAATGGAATCTTGCGAGTCCCTTGTTTCCGTGAGTCTGGATTTAAGCCGTTTGAATTCTGGAGTTGGCTCCTTCTAGCTCAACAGTGTATATATATACACTGTTGAGCTAGAAGGAGCCAACTCCAGAATTCAAACGGCTTAAATCCAGACTCACTAAAGCACAACATTATAAATTTGAGATATCACTTTAAAAGCTATCACACAACTGAATCGAAAAGCTTCCATTTATGTTATCTGAATTCTAAGATTTAGGATTTGAGGAGAGAATGTGTTAGAGAGATATAAAATAATTAATTTAACCACATTTAATGTCTTAAGATTTTGGGTTAAAGTGGCACTTATCATGGTATCAGAGCTTCAGTGACTACAAGGTCACGAGTTCGATCCACTGCTCCCACTTTCAGGTGGAATTAAAAAAAAGCAGAAGTCAAACAAAAAAAAAAGCTTGTGCAACACAAGACAGACCAATAATGGACTTGTGTCATATCCACGCTTCAAGCCCAACGGACTTTTACGTGAGGGGGTGTGTTAGAGAGATATAAAATAATTAATTTAGCCTCACCCAATAATATCTTAAGGTTTTGCGTTGAAGTGACGATTATCAAAATGATAGTTGTTTTTTTAATTAAATTTTAACAAGAATATTTTCCATTGAAGTGAAAATTAGGTCATGGGAATTTATTTTATGTTTTTGTGTGTGTGATTTTCGTCATTCAACTATGGGCTAAACCACAAGTTGAATGAAAAAGAAAAGATTATTATTAACTCAATACCTAGTATATAGCAATAGCCTTGGTGATTCAAGATGAATTTGTCAACCCATTGTCCCTAACACCCTCTTGGGTCACCTCGTTCTGATGAGTATATTCAATATTTAGCATCCCTCAGCAAATGTATTATGAAAATTGCCAGTTTTGCAACCACTCCAGAGTCTAGAGTAAGGAAAAATATGAATTCCCCATGCATCATCAGTAGAGGTGGCAAAGTGGGCGGCCTGCCCCGCCCCGCTCCACCCCGCTATCAACTAGTCAAAAGATGAGTCAGCTCGCCCCGCCCCGCTTTTGGAAGTGTACTAAAAAACTCAGCCCGCCCCGCCCCGTTTGGCGGGTTGGGCGGGTTGACCCGCAAGCCCGAGCTTATTTTACACTGACCCGCCTCGGCCCTCCTATGTCCGCCATCAACCCGCCAAAAAATGAGCTCGCCCTGCCTCGCCCCGCTTTTGAGATGAGTTGAAAAACTCAGTCCGCCCCGCCCTGTTTGGTGGGTTGGGAGGGTTGGCCCACTGAGTCGAGCCCGTTTTGCCAGCTCTAATCATCAGACACGTGTTTGTCCTGACAGCTTAGAGGGTGTCGAAAATATTTGTAAGAATATCTTTTATTTTATTTGTAATTTGGTAAATAGAAATGATTTATAATTGTGTTTAATAAAATTTATTTATTTTTCTATTACAAATAATGAATAGATAATTTGAAAATAAAATTTGATAAAAAAGAGAAGTTATACTTACTACTTTTTTCTTACTACTTTTTACTACCAAATCTTAATAGTTGATTTCTGTCAATCTAACTATTATAATTTATTGGTAATTCATAATTAATTAAAGAGTGTGACTCAATAAATTATAACTATTAAGATTTAATAGTAAGAGATAATAAAATAAAAGATAGTAAGTATAACCTTACCAAAAATAATAACAACATTTTTCAGCTTATTCATTTTCAGGCACATAAATAGAAAAAAAAACATATTTCTCTTCAGAATGAGTACATAACGATTGTCATAAAGACATAAACATCTTTCATATATGACAAAAAGTTTTGAGCAATGATAAAAAAATCCAAGAAGATTGAAAAGTGTTATTAAATTGATCATATCTTATTTAATAATTAAAAAAGATTTTAAATTCCAACCAATGATTTTCTTTTCTTTTGTTGACACGATTATAATGATTTTATTGTGATAGGAGATAATTGCGATGATAAAATAAAATGCTACAAAAACAATTTCATCCCCAATCGCACTATTAATTGTAACTGCGCAATTTGAAATCTGACAAAAGAAGTCTTAATTTTTTTTTTCCAACAAGTTTAATTCAAGAAACAATTAAGAATACGTCGCTATTATGGAGCGAGATTTGCAAAGTTATTTTTTAGGATTTGATGTTTGTTATTTTAAATGACATAAAGTTATGTCATTTTAAGTGAGAGAAAGACACAAATAATAAAAATAATAGGGGAGAAAGTGGTATTTTTTAATTTAAATTAAAAAAACTAATTTGTGTCTTTATCTCTCTTAAAATGGCACAACACTATGTCATTTAAAATAACAAATATTTTTCTTTTTTTATTTAATTAGCATTTGTTTTACCTTCCTAAAATTTTGAATTAGATAGCCAACATGACTAGTCAATACTAGGGATGGCAAAAATGAGCTGACTACCTGAGCCAGCTCAAAAAAACCAAGTCAAACTGCAGGTTAAACGGGTCAGCTCGCAAGTTATCTTTTTATTGAAGTATTGGACTTTTTTTGATGTATTTTGAGTTGTTGTTTTGGTCTTGTAACCTTTTATTTTAATTACTCAACAACTAAATATTTTATATCAAGTGCTTTCCTTTGCAGTAAAAATCTTATATCAAATGAAAATCATTTTCTTAACTTTCCCACCACATGTACTGAATGAGTGTGCAAAGGCTTTTTTTCGAGTCAACCCTAACCCGGCTCGAGTCGGGTTAGGTTGAGTTTTCTGACTCGTTTTTTTTAGTCAACCCTAATCTGACTCATTTTTTTCGTGCTACAAACGGGTTGGATCGGGTCGAATCAGGTTTGCCTATTTTGCCAACCTAGTCAAGACGAGTACCCAATACCCAAGAATAAATAATTAATTTTAATTACTAAATAACTTGTTTAAAGAAAAAATTATCATTTTTAAAGTAAGCACATAAGTCCCAAAAAATACCTAGCTGGAAGATTCCTACCTTCATTACATTAGTGAACATGATTAGGATATTAAGTTCTAGAGGAGGTGCATGAATAAATTGCAATTCCAAAGGTAAATCTAATACATACATTGTTATTCTGCATGTCGGCAGAAGCATCATTACCCTTTTTATAAACAGGGTTTATTTGTACAATCTATTCTCTTGATAATAAGGAGAGAACATAAAGTCAAGAGTTAAGATTCAGCTTTTGTACTATCAATCTTCAATTTGCGTATTAAAATCTGATTATCACACTTCAAAATTAATTTTATATTTGAAACTTTGAATTTTTCAAAATGTATATTTCAAGATCAATCAATAAAAAATACGCCAATATTATTGAGTGTGAAATGCAAAGTTATTTTTTAATTAGTATTCATTTTAAAGTACACTATATACATGAAATCTTTAAAATATATCCATGAATGATGAATCTAGATTCCTAACGATGTCACTTAGCCCAGTACAGAAAGAAGAAAAATAGAAGAGACAAATATGATACAGAAGTTTGAACAAAAGGCAAGCAGACAAAATAGAAACTACAGTGGATAATCAAAAGGAAAAGCAGCTTTTCTCTATACATAAGGAATAACAAAAGAAATAGTAAAACAATCAAGCAAAAACATTACAAAAAATCCAAAAATTGAACAGAAGAAGAAAAAGAAGATGAAAAATAATTCACAAGAAAAGGAACAAACCCTAGTTAATAATGGTCAAAACAACCACCATGAACCATGGAACTAACACCACAGTTTCATACACCATACCCATTGAAACCTTCATTCAAGAAAGACACATTTGATAACCTTTGCATCGGTGATGATGCAACTGGTAAAGGTGGAAGGGCAACTGGCAATGGTGGAAGTGAATTATCAACCTTCTTCTTTTCCCTTACAGAAACAAGTTTCATCTTCAAATCTTCTATGCAATTCTTGGATTTCTCAACTTGTTCAAAACTAATATCCTCAATGGAGAGATCCTGTCATTCAGTGAATACCAAACCATTCTTTTTTGCCTCATTAATCTCTTCATTATGCATATTCTCTTCTTTCAACTTAGCTTTAGTTGCCTCAAATTTCAGCCTTAGGGTTTCCACACCTTCTTGGAAGCTTTTTTAGCAGCACAGTTGTGATACCCTCCTCCGCCGCCGTGGTAGTAGTGGATGACAAAGTCTGAATCGGGGTAGCCGCATGCATAGAGTTTTCCTTTTTGAGAATTGATGACCAAAGCGGTTTCAGCTTGGCAAAGAAGGGATAGCTCAGTGACTTTGTTGAAAAGCCCTTGTTTGCATTTCGAGAAGGTCACGTAGCGCTTGCTTTTTTCTTCCACTTTCTTGATCTCAACCTTCCCCTTTCGTATGTTTGACTTTCTTACAGAGGAAGAATCCATTGATATCAAAAGATAGAGAAAAAGAAAAGAAAGAAACGACAAAGAAAAGGAAAAGGAAAACTTTTGGAGGATTTTTGGACAAACAGTGTTTATCGTCTAATTAGGTGGTTCGAGAATTCAAACGACTTAAACCCAAACCTCTTTAAGCACAACATTATAAATCTGAGAAATCGCTTCAAACCCTATCACACAACTGAATTGGAAAGCTTTCATTTATGTATTTGAACTCTAAGATTTAGGGTTTGGGGAAAAATTCAAAAATTTAAGAAAAGAAGAAGAAAAATAAAAAAATTGAACAATAATTCACAGGAAAAGGAACAAGCCCTCATTAATAACTGCTACCTATAGCCATGTATGTCGAAATTAATAATGGCGAAAACCACCACCAGGAACCATGGAACTGACGCCACTGTTCCATACACCATACCCTTTGAAACCCTAATTCAAGAAAGACACATCTGATAACCTTTGCATCGGTGATGATGCAACTGGTAATGGTAAAGGTGCAACTGGCAATGGTGGAAGTGAATTACCGACCTTCTTCTTCTTCTTTTCCCTTGCAGCAACAAGTTTCATCTTCAAATCTTCTAAGCAATTCTTGAATTCCTCAACTTGTTCAAAACCCATATCCTCGATGGAGAGATCCCGCCATTCAGTGAATACCAAACCATTCTTTTTTCCCTCAGTGATCTTTTCATGATGCGTATTCTCTTCTTTCAACTTTTCTTCAGTTGCATCAAATTTCAGCCTTAGGGTTTCAACACACTGTTGGAACCTCGTTTTAGCAGCACGGTTGTGATACCCTCCTCCGTCGCCGCCTTGGTAACGGTGCATGACAGAGTCTGTATCGGGGTAGCCGCAGGCATAAAGCTTTCATTTCTGAGAATTGAAGACCAAAGCGGTTTTAGCTTGGCAAAGAAGGGATAACTCAGTGACTTTTATGAAAAGCCCTTGTTTGTGTTTCGAGAAGGTCACGTAGCGCTTTGTTTTTTCTTCCACTTTCTTGATCTCAACCTTACCCTTTCGTATGTTTGGCTTTCTTACAGAGGAAGAATCGATTGATATCAAAAGATAGAGAAAAAGAAAAGAAAGAAAAGACAAAGAAAAGGAAAAGGAAAACTTTTGGAGGATTTCCTGACAGACAGTGTTTATCGCCTAATTAGGTGGTTCGAGAATTCAAACGGCTTAAACCCAAACCTCTTTAAGTACAACATTATAAATCTGAGACATCGCTTCAAACCCTCTAACACAACTGAATCGAAAAGCTTCAAATTATGTATTTGAACTTTAAGATTTAGGGTTTGGGGAAAATTTCAAAAATTAAAGAGAAGAAGAAAAAAAATTGAACAATAATTCACAAGAAAAGGAACAAGCGCTAATTAAGAACTGCTACCTATAGCCATGTATGACCTATTTTATATTGGCCAAAACCACCACCAAGAACCATGGAACTGACGCCATAGTTCCATACACCATACCCTTTGAAACCCTCATTCAAGAAAGACACATATGATAATCTTTGCATCGGTGATGATGAAACTGGTAATGGTGGAAGTGCAACTGGCAATGGTGGAAGGGAATTATCGACCTTCTTATTCTTCTTTTCCCTTGCAGCAACAAGTTTCATCATCAAATCTTCTAAGCAATTCTTGATATCGGTGCAGCACGGTTGTGATACCATCCTCCGTCGCCGCCTTGATATCGGTGAATGACAGAGTCCGAATCGGGGTAGTCGCATTCATAGAGCTTTTCTTTCTAAGAATTGATGACCAAAGCAGTTTCAGCTTGGCAAAGAAGGGATAGCTCGGTGACTTTCTTGAAAAGCCTTTGTTTGCGTTTCGAGAAGGTCACGTAGCGCTTGCTTTTTTCTTCCACTTTCTATATCTCAACCTTACCCTTTCATATGTTCGGCTTTCTTTCAGATGAAGAATCGATTGATATCAAAAGATAGAGAAAAAGAAAAGAAAGAAAAGACAAAGAAAAGGAAAAGGAAAACTTTTGGAGGATTTCCTGACAGACAATGTTTATCGTCTAATTAGGTGGATCGAGAATTCAAACGGCTTAAACCCGAACCTCTTTAAGCACAACATTATAAATATGAGACATTGCTTCAAACCCTATCACACAACTGAATTGGAAAGCTTTCATTTATGTATTTGAACTCTAAGATTTAGGGTTTGGGGAAAAATCCAAAAATTGAAAAGAGGAAGAAAAAAAACAAAAAAATTGAACAAAAATTCACAAGAAAAGGAACAAGCCCTGATTAATAACTTCTACCTATAGACAAGCATGGCCTAATTAATAATGGCCAAAACCACCACTAGGAACCATGGAACTGACGCCACAATTCAATACACCATACCCTTTAAAACCCTCATTCAAGAAAGACACATTATGATAACCTTTGCATCGGTGATGATGCAACTGGTAATGGTGGAAGTGCAACTGACAATGGTAGAAGTGAATTATCGACCTTCTTCTTCTTCTTTTCCCTTGCAGCAACAAGTTTCATCTTCAAATCTTCTAAGTAATTCTTGAATTCCTCAACTTGTTCAAAACCAATATCCTCGATGGAGAGATCCCGCCATTCAGTGAATACCAAGCCATTCTTTTTTCCTCAGTGATCTCTTCATGATGCATATTCTCTTCTTTCAACTTTTCTTCAGTTGCATCAAATTTCAGCCTTAGGGTTTCAACACCATGTTGGAACCTCCTTTTAGCAACACGGTTGTGATACCCTCCTCTGCCGCCGCCTTGGTAGCGATGGATGACAGAGTCCGGATAGCGGTAGCCGCAGGCATAAAGCTTTCCATTCTGAGAATTGATGACCAAAGCGGTTTCAGATTTTCAAACAAGGGATAGGTCAGTAACTTTTATGAAAGCCCTTATTTGCCTTTCGAGAAGGTCACGTAGCATTTTTTTTTTCTTCCACTTTCTTGATCTCAACCTTACACTTTCGTATGTTTAGCTTTCTTACATAGGAAGAATCGATTGATATCAAAAGATAGAGAAAAAGAAAAGAAAGAAAAGACAAAGAAAAGGCAAAAGGAAAACTTTTGGAGGATTTCTGGAGAGACAGTGTTTATGTCTAATTAGGTGGTTCGAGAATTCAAATAGATTAAACCCAAACCTCTTTAAGCACAACATTATAAATCTGAAACATCGCTTCAAACCCTATAACACTATTGAACTTAAAGCTTTAAATTATGTATTTGAACTTTAAGATTTAGGGTTTCGAGAAAAATTCAAAAATTGAAGAGAAGAAGAAAAAAAACAAAAAAATTGAACAATAATTCACAAGAAAAGGAACAAGCCCTGATTAATAATTGTTACCTATAGCCATGTATGAACTATTTTATAATGGCCAAAACCACCGCTAAGAACCATGGAACTGACGCTATAGTTCCATGCACCATACCCTTTGAAACCCTCATCCAAGAAAGACAAATATGATAACCTTTGCATCGGTGATGATGCAACTGGTAATGGTGGAAGTGCAACTGGCAATGGTAGAAGTGATTTATCGACCTATTTCTTCTTCATTTCCCTTACAGCAACAAGTTTCATCTTCAAATCTTCTAAGCAATTCTTGAATTCCTCAACTTGTTCAAAGCCCATATCCTTGATGGAGAAATCCCGCCATTCAGTGAATACCAAGCCATTCTTTTTTTCCTCAGTGATCTCTTCATGATGCATATTCTCTTCTTTCAACTTTTCTTCAGTTGCATCAAATTTCAGCCTTAGGGTTTCAACACCATGTTGGAACCTCCTTTTAGCAGCATGGTCGTGATACCCTCCTCTGTCGCCGCCTTGGTAGCGGTGGATGACAGGGTTCGGATCGGGGTAGCCGCAGGCATAGAGCTTTCCTTTCTGAGAATTGATGACCAAAGCGGTTTTAGCTTGGCAAAGAACGGATAGCTCGGTGACTTTGTTGAAAAGCCCTTGTTTGCGTTTCAAGAAGGTCACGTAGCGCTTTATTTTCTCTTCAACTTTCTTGATCTCAACCTTACCCTTTTGTATGTTTGGCTTTCTTGCAGAGGAAGAAGCGATTGATATCAAAAGATAGAGAAAAAGAAAAGAAAGAAAGGACAAAGAAAAGGCAAAAGTAAAACTTTTGGAGGATTTCCGGACTGATAGTGTTTATCGTCTCATTAGGTGGTTCAGGAATTCAAAAAGATTAAACCCAAACCTCTTTAAGCACAACATTATAAATCTGAAACATCGCTTCAAACCCTATACCACAATTGAACTGAAAAGCTTTAAATTATGTATTTGAACTTTAAGATTTCGGGTTTCGGGAAAAATTCAAAAATTGAAGAGAAGGAGAAAAAAACAAAAAAATTGAACAATAATTCACAAGTAAAGGAACAAGCCCTGATTAATAACTGCTACCTATAGCCATGTATGAACTATTTTATAATGGCGAAAACCACCGCCAAGAACCGTGGAACTGACGCCATAGTTCCATACACCATACCCTTTGAAACCCTCATTCAAGAAATACACATCTGATAACCTTTGCATCGGTGATGATGCAAGTGGTAATGGTGTAAGTGCAACTGGCAATGGTGGAAGTGAATTATCGACTTTCTTCTTCTTCTTTTCCCTTGCAGCAACAAGTTTCATCTTCAAGTCTTCTAAGCAATTCTTGAATTCCTCAACTTGTTCAAAACCCATATCCTCGATGGAGAGATCCCGCCATTCAGTGAATACCTAACCATTGTTTTTTGCCTTAGTGATCTCTTCATGATGCATATTCTCTTTTTTCAACTTTTCTTCAGTTGCCTCAAATTTCAACCTTAGGGTTTCAATACCCTGTTGGAACCTCCTTTAGCAGCACGGTTGTGATACCCTCCTCCGCTGCCGCCTTCGTAACGGTGGATGATAGTGTCCGGATCGAGTAGCTGCATGCATAGAGCTTTCCTTTTTGAGAATTGATGACCAAAGCGGTTTCAGCTTGGCAAAGAAGGGATAGCTCAGTGACTTTGTTGAAAAGCCCTTGTTTGCATTTCGAGAAGGTCACGTAGCGCTTGCTTTTTTCTTCCACTTTCTTAATCGCAACCTTCCCCTTTCGTATGTTTGACTTTCTTATAGAGGAAGAATCCATTGATATGAAAAGATAGAGAAAAAGAAAAGAAAGGAAGGACAAAGAAAATGAAAAGGAAAACTTTTGGAGGATTTTTGGACAGGCAGTGTTTATCGTCTAATTAGGTGGTTCGAGAATTCAAACGGCTTAAACCCAAACCTCTTTAAGCACAACATTATAAATTTGAGACATCGCTTCAAACCCTATCACACAACTGAATTGGAAAGCTTTCATTTATGTATTTGAACTCTAAGATTTAGGGTTTGGGCCAAAATCCAAAAATTGAAGAGAAGAAGAAAAAAAATAAAAAAATTGAACAATAATTCACAAGAAAAGGAACAAGCCCTTATTAATAACTGCTACCTATAGCCATGTATAACCTAATTAATAACAACCGAGATAACCAACTCGAGAAAGAAGACCCTCTACAAGATACCCATCTGATGAATACACTGTTGTTGCTGAAGACGGTGAGCCTCAGAGTTATGACGAGGATGTGACGAGCTCAGAGAAATAAGAATGGAAAAAGGCAATGCAAGACGAGATGAAGTCTCTGCACGAGAATCAGACTTATGAGTTGACCGAGTTGCCAAAAGGAAGACGAGCTCTGAAAAACAAATGGATCTACAAGATTAAGAATGAAGAGAACGGGCAAAAGTCGAGATACAAAGCCCGGATTGTAGTGAAAGGATGCAATCAAAAGAAAAGAGTAGACTTTGAGGAGATTTTTTCTCCTGTGGTGTAAATGACCTCGGTCCGAACCGTGTTAGCTATGGCAGCTTCTATGGACCTCGAGGTAGAACAAATGGACGTGAAGACGACATTTCTTCACGGTGATTTAGAAGAAGAAATATATATGGAGCAACCTGAAGGGTTCCGAGCTCCAGACCAAGAAGATATGGTATGTCGGTTGAAGAAGAGCCTCTATGGCTTGAAGCAAGCACCTCGGCAGTGGTACAAGAAATTTGAATCATTCATGACTGATCACAAGTTTGAGAAGACAAAAGCCGACCATGTGTATTTGTGAAGAGGTATGAGGCCGGAGATTTTCTGATATTGTTGTTATATGTTGACAACATGCTTATTGTATGGAAAGACAAATCGAGGATAGCCGCCTTGAAGAAGGCGTTGAGCTCGTCCTTCGCAATGAAGGACCTCGGTCCTGCAAAGCAAATTCTCGGAATCAAGATTATCCGAGATAGACAAAAGAAGCTACTGTGGCAAAGTCAAGAGAAGTATATTGAGAAGATTCTGAAGAGATCCAGCATGGACAAAGCCAAAACAGTGAGCACCCCCCTAGCCGGACACATAAAGCTGAACCAGAAACAATGTCCGAGATCTGATGAAGACAAAGATGAGATGATGAAGGTCCCGTACCAATCCGCCGTCGGAAGCTTGATGTATGCAATGGTTTGCACTAGACCCGACTTGGCGTATGCTGTTAAGCCGGTATCTGTCAAACCCCGGCAAAGAGCACTGGGAAGTAGTGAAGTGGATCTTCAAGTACCTCTGAGGTACGACCGACTTATGTCTCCGATTTGGAGAAGGCAAAGCCGAGTTGCAAGGCTACTCAGATTCTGATTTAGGGGGAGATTCTGACTCGAGGAAATCGACGACGGGATACATGATGAGATTTTCCGGAGGAGCTGTCTCTTGGCAATCAAGACTTCAGAAATGTGTTGCACTATCTACAACAGAGGCTGAGTACATTGTCGCTACTGAGGCAAGCAAAGAGATGCTGTGGATGAAGAAGTTCCTCATGGAACTCGGCCATGATCAAGACAAGTACGAGCTGGGTTGTGACAATCAAAGCACAATCCATCTTGCGAAGAATTCGACCTATCACTCCCGCACTAAGCACATTGATGTGAGGTATCACTGGATCCAGGATGTGGTTGAAGGTGGAGAGCTCAAACTCGTCAAGGTGCACACTGACCAAAACTGATGACGAAGCTGGTTCCAACAAGAAAATTTGAAGACTGTTGTGAAGGAGCCGGGTTGATGCTGAAGCCGACGCATTGAAGTCGGAGGGAGAGATTTGTTGGGCTTCCTCCTTCAATGCTAAGCCCAAGCCCATTGAGGGGTTTCCTATAAACCCTAGATCTCACCTCCTCTATATAATCATTAGTTGTGGGTGGAGGCTAGGTTAAGAGATATTTGAAATTTGAGATAAAATTGTTTGAGCAAAGCTTTATGCTTTGTATTTGAGAGATCTCTAGAGAGAATTTTCTCTATGGTAGTTTGATTATCACCATTGTTGGAGAGGTTGAGTTAACCACCACATTGGTGTATTTGATTCTTTGTAACTATTATTTTCATAGTGGATTTTTGATCTGGACTAGGTCCCGTGGGTTTTTACTTCTTCATTGGAGAAAGTTTTTCCACGTTAAAATTGCTTGTGTTCTCTCTCTCTTCTCCTTCTCCTCTTTCTCCTGTTTTTCGTTTTGATTTTTCGCTGCGCTGTCTGACCTGGTGAAATTCAGGCCGAGGTATTGCCGAGATCTGAGATCAGAATCTCGTTGATTGACTTCCGCACAAAAACTGTAGAAGCCGAGCTTGAGGAAACCGAGTTCCCAACAGAATGAATGTATGGCCTGATACCATGGATTGTAGACGATAAAAGGTGAATGAACAACACAAATTCAAGGTGGAAGATGTTGACGTTACCTTTCTTTTGTCGTTAGATACGAGGAAGAACAAGAACAATCGCCACTTCAAAATTTTGCGGGAAACCTTTGATAGTTAGTTGCTCAGTCTTAGTGTCTTGTACTTCATTGGTTGTTATTACAAATATATAGCATTTAATTCACTACCGCTGGTTGGTTACCTCCGCTTTCTTCTCTAAGGCTTTCTTGATTCTTACCATTAATATTTAGCTACTAATAAAATTAATTATAATTTCTTTACCAAATTTTTTTAATTATAATTACTTATTTATATTAGTTTCAAATTTATTAAAGTTTTGATTAGGTAATGTATGTTTATATAAAAAAAAAATTGTGCGTGGATAAGTGAAAAATATATATTTTTCCCGAAAGTTTGTTTTAATTATTAAAAATATGATACAGGACTGGGAGCAAAAATTGGTTGGTTTCTATCATATTAGTAAGACCAAATATAGGAGGACAAAAAAATATTTATCATTTAAAATTGATAATAACTTATAAGCAATAATAAGTCCTTTTACATTAAATTCATGTCTATGCATGTATTTTTTTTTTTAGTGTGAATTGAAAAAGGTCTGATTTAATTTGTATGAAGCTTAACTAATTGATTTGTTTAATATTTTTAATAAAGATTGACACTAAAATTAAGAAATTTATAGTAATATTTATTAAACTCTTAGCTTCAAGTAATGGAAATAATTACTATTAAAGATGTTAGGTTAATATCTTGTTTTCTCCTTTACTTAGGATTAAAAAGTTGACTTAAGTAGTCAACTTTTTAATCCTATGCAAATATGAGGAAAAAAAAGTTCACTTAAGGAATTGTGAACAGCTTTTGAAAAAGAATAAAAGAAAAAACTTACTATATTTAACTAAAATTCGTAAAGCATTGATAGTTTGACACTCCTGATCATATGCCTTCCCCTTTTTCCCCTACTTAATTGGGAAAATTTGTTTTCTTTTCAAGTATATAAAGTAACTACACCTGATCTTCATGCTTCTCTCTTTCACTTGTCATTAGAGGTGGCAAAGTGGGCGGCCCACCCCGCCCCACCCTACCCCGCCATCAACTCGTCAAAAAATGAGTCAGCTCGTCCCGTCCCGCTTTTGAAAGTGGGCTGAAAAACTTAGCTCACCCCGCCCCGTTTGGCGAGTTGGACGGGTTGGCCTGCCAGCCCGAGCCTATGTTACACTGACCCGCCTCGCCCCGCCTATGCCCGCCATCAACCCGCAAAAAAGTGAGCCCGCCCTGCCCCGCTTATGAGATGGGTTGAAAAACTCAGCCCACCCCGCCCCGTTTGGCGGGTTGGGCGGGTAAACCCGCTGAGCCGAACCCGTTTTGCCGGCTCTACTTGTCATATAACCAGTTTGCTCCAAAAAAGTTGTCCGAGCGTTGACTGCGTGTCCGAGCGTTGATTGCGTGTCCAAAAAAGTTCGCCGTGTGTCCGAAAAACGTGTCGAAACGTGTCAGAAAGTTGACCACGTGTCCCCAATTATTGACCACGTGACGGACGCGTGTCCGAGCGTGTCGGAGTCTCCGACACTCAAATTTTTTCTCTCGGAGCGTGTCTGTGCTTTGTAGTTGTCCACTATTCATCCCTCACCACTAGGCTAGTTCTAGTGATTTTACAGAGTGCTCCACAAATCTAAGAATGAAAAATTTACTTTATCTAATATATAGCATATTAGAAAAAAAAATTATTTGTTTTTATTTTTTTAAAGCAAATGGTATAAGGCAAAAAAATTGAAAAAAAAAAACCAAACCACCAACTAATTGAAAGTTCCAACCTTGCTCTCCTAGTCCTTTTCTCCAGAATCTGTTAGTATCCGATTTGGAAGGGCCTTCTGTCACCAACTAATTAAAAATAGTAAGGAGATGTACACAATCTTTTATGTACACAAACATTGTCCTCCCAATACACATAGCTCAAGTGTACAAATCTTTCGATCTCTTGATAGTAAGGACAGAGCATAAGTCAAGATTGAGATCCAACTTATGAATCATCAGCCTTCTTCAATTTGTGTATTAAAATATGATTGTCACACTCCAAAATTAACTTCTATACCTCAAATTCCAAGCCATTTGTAAGCCAATAACCACACCCCTGCGTTCAGCTGTAAATGCCGTAACATGTCTGTTAACGTTTATTTCTAAGAGAAGTAAATTTTTTTTCAAATTTTTTTATAAGAAACTACTTTTTTTTGGTTTTAAAATAAATTAAACCAAACATAATAAATTGAAACCACACCAAGATTTTCCAAGTTTATTCAAAGCCCCAAAAAAACAAGAAATGCCAAAACACTGATTACAGCTTTGTTCAGTTGAGTATGAAATACCGTTATAACAAATACTTC